GAGATAAAAAGAAGCAGATATTGTGAACAAAACCATTTTCTATTCCCAGTTTAACACCTATGAACATCAGCAAGATCCACACACTGTCTTGAAGAGCCCACAAACTTCTGCCTTGCTTGATACTTTTCCTTATTTTGTCTGTGATGGAGTCAATGTCTATGGAAGGGAAACAATCTGCAGAATCAATACATGTTTTACTGAATCTAAAGGAAGCAATGAAATAATTTTACTTAACACTTAGCATCTCTCAGAAGTAGCTATCAAGTGAGGCTGATTGAATCTTACAGCAAGGAAAAACTAAGTGAAGATAAAACACAAAATGAATTTAAATAAAATAAGAGATGTGTTGCAGTACTGGACCTTTTAAGTAAAATGCAATTTAAAAATAAAGTTCACATCATCTGTAGCCTTGAAAAACTCACACACCTTCAAGGACAGTGAATTTTAGATTCAGAGCACCAAAGATCAGAGATCTGAAGGATTACTGTAGTACTGGAAGAGAGGGAGCTCTAGATTTTCCTTTGTAAGTCTCAAATACATATGCAGCCTGCACTGCTGCATGATTACAGGCATCTTCACAGTTCACCTTTGGGACACAAAGAGAAGGAAAGCAACTCCAAGTACTCAGCACAGAAAAAGCTCCCGATATATTAAAGGTGCTTTTACCCCAAACTTTGGAAACTCTTACCAAAGTAGCTCTAAATTAGTTGCACAAATCATACTTGTGCAAACTGAACTATTTTATTTTTAAAAAAACACAAACCCAAAAGTCAGTCAAAGACACAGCCTCACTGCAGTACTCCTTCCTCACTAGCATGGTACCAGTTACAGCTCTTGAGACTTCTCATCTCTGCACCAATCTCAGACCTTACTCTAAGCATACTCTCCAGTGCCTCATTTTCTCACCTCTCCCACTTTTGTCCTGGTTTCCCATTCAAAGCTGTTCATTTTGGCTATCTATTCCACCTTCAGCTCACTGTCACAGTTCTCATTCAGTTTTAGTCTCCCACTCCTGCTTCCAGACTCCATGGCACTCATTCATCCCGTACAAGTCAACTTAAAGCCTGAATGTCTTGCTACCATCAGTGAAGAAAGGCTCAGTCCTCCAAGTGCTTGTTCAGACCATCTTAACCCTGCAGGGAGTTACTCTTCTCCCCTTTATGATACTTAGAAATGAACCCCCAAACCACTCACTCCAGCATTTTCCTGTTGCTGTCCACTGTCCAGAGATTTGGTCCAAATTTTCCAAGATGGCAAAATACACTTTTTGTAAATGCACTTGCTATATTGGATTTTATTATTACCCATGTAACTTGCATAAAGCCTGTTGGTCTCTGTAATTTTTATAAGAAAGGGTGAAGTTAAAAAGCACAGGCTATGGACTTTTTCTGGCAGAAGAATGATTCACTGAAACATCAATTTACAATTTCCCATGCAGATGATCACTCAGTTTGCAATGAAAATCACCTGATCCTTTTTATGTAAAGAAATGACTTCACCCACCAATGGAAGAATTTAAAAGAAGAACCCATATTACCAAATCCTTCACTTTGATTAAATGTCATCTTCACTGTACGACAAGCAGAGCCATCTCCCAGACAAACTCCACACTGGTCTTCTGTGGCATTGGAATTTATCTCATAATCACAGCCAACACTCTAGAAAGAAAATAGTTTCAGAATAAATGCAGCCTCCACAATGAATTACTGATATCTCATGTATTACATCGCTTCTAAGAAGGGGAATAGTATATATCTTGTATAAACAAACTAATAGTAGAGATTGTTATATGTTGGTCAAACGTGTATTACAGCAAGGTGAAAAAAATCCTAACATGCAACAACCAGCACCATGTCATAAAACACACAGTAGTGACCAGATACTTGAGATGGAAATGACCTCAATATCTGGGATTGGCCAGTACATCTAGGATTTGTGTCTGCGTTCTCATGTCATAGAGCCATCCATAGATTCCTAGGAATACAATGCAGTAACAGAACTGAAATCTCGTCAGCTTTTTGTGGCCATTCAACAGTGCAGAACCTCTACACCAGTCAAAACCCCTGGCAAAGAGAAACTCTTCAGCAGGCATGAAGTTTTATACCCATGATAGCTGCTTCTCCAGCTTTTCAGCATAGGGGCATGGGTCAAGATAAAGTTCTGGTAAAGACTGATTTTTCACTGTATGCTTGCTACAGGGAGAAAGGGAGAGAAAAATTTATTCGCACTGAGTCAGGAAAAGACTTCTTCCTTGTCCAACACCACAATTCTGCCCTCTGTCTTTAAACTTCAACAAAATATTAATTTGGTTTTGGGGGGAGGGGTTTCTGCCTGTCTTCAAAAACTTGCAAGATTGCAGAACACAACCTAATATCTAACACTTAATGGCTGCTGATAGTATCTAAGATACCTGGAGACCCATGATTTAGATGAGTAGCTGTAAGTCTGGTGGTATGTAATGTTTTTCTTAGCTGATTTTTCACAAAATAAGCTTTCGGGTGCTATACCTGCAAACTTCTCTAACACTCTCTTGATGTATGAAAATCTGGGTATTACCTCTTTTAATTCTGATCTTATTTTCCCTTCAGTACATCAAGCTACTATAAGCTTATGTCAAGAAAATCCATCCCTTAGGTTAATCTAGGTATACAGCCTCCTGCATTCTCTAATATTTTTCTATCATTTTCAGCTCAAGAAACACCTGAACTATTCATCTATGTGCCAGTGATTTAATGAACACTTAGAGAAACTGCAAAAGACAGAAGGAAGGGCCTCAAGTTACAAATGGTGTCAAACTGTGTCACTTTAACAAGGATTCAAAAAAAGACTCATCCATCATTTAACGCCAATAAATAGCCAGTACCTTTGATACCTGCTCCGAAAAACAACGGCCAAAACAAAAGGCTCTGCAGTAGCATTAGCTTCCCTGTCCTTCCAGTGAAGGCCACTTTCAGAAAAGAAAGGTGCTGTAATGTCTTTCACAGAGACATCTCGGCATGAAAGACCACGCTTATGAGCAGTACAGAATGTTACAGAGATAAGCACATGTTAAGAAGGTGGGAAATTTTTGCCTCCAAGCATGTAGGTATTAGATCGAGGATTAATTTAGTCAAGTTTTCAGAACACACAGATGTCACTGATATAAGTGCAGGATGTTCCTTTATCTTGTCAAGAGTTCAAATCTGTCTCTTTTAGCAGCTGTCTACAGATGCACTGGAGTTTATATTTAATGCTTCCTCATAATTTAAAAAGGTTAGTGTGCTGCTGTTTTCTCAAACTGAAGTGTATCTACTGTACTATCAGTACACTTGTTAATCATCTGCAAAAAGTAAAGTCATAGTTATCAGGCTTATTATGAGACCAGAGGAGTAGTCAGCCACTCTGGAGAAAGTTAAACTCTATTTTCTATTCTATGCACATGCACACTATTAAACAGAAAGTTGGTGAAAGCCTGGAAATGGAACTCTTGTACTTCATGCTTTTCTATCAGAAAATATTACTAATGACTGTTCTGGATCTTCTCTTTTGAACTTACAAAAATGACTTGTTTTCAAATTGCATCATTTTTGCCAAATTAATGTTTTCTGGTAGAAAATGCATGTTCTTGAAAAGGTTTCTGTTCATCTTTATCTACTGTTTGTACTTGTTCGAGAGGCTGCACACTGAAATAATTTGTCTCATTTACATCGTCAATCAGACATTTTGAAATTAGCATCACTGAGCATACATCCCTTCCAAGTACTGTGTAGTGTAAAAATCCCCAAAGGCTGAATGAATTAGTTCTGAACTACTGCAGCACTGGATCTAGCTTAGGTGGCAGCACCACGACACCATCACTTTCTTGCCTTTGGAGTGACAATTAGTATCACTGCATGGGATGTATTCTATCAGCTCAGTCAGAATCAGCTCAGAGCTTTCCTTGGCCATACACTTCCTTTAGCAACACATCCGTGGCATCAAAATATGACATTGCTATGATATGAAGGGAATCCCTTTGTCCCTTCCAGTTATAACCACAGAAGCTTGTATATCATTTTTTCTCTGACATTTGAAACAGTTTGTACCTGATCAGACATCACAGTCTCACCTATATATGCAGCAGCATGGGGTGCTGGGGTCCCCAAAAATGAGGCACTCAAACCACTGTGGCAGGGCAGACAATTTACTGTGCTATGGGGAATAAAGGTGTTGTTTTATTCCCCAGCTCTGGGGTGCTGATGGTGCTACAATGACCTTCATATCTAGCAACGGGGCCTCATCTTACAAAGCCATTAAAACCATCACAAAGCAATATTCTCATGTGCCAGAATAAACAGCAGTCATTTACTCTAAATACATTTCCATGAACTCTAATTTCTAGATCATGTTTTACTTTATCACTCCAGTGAATACCACATTATTTTTGTCATCCATTAGAATAATTTCTAGATGATTCCTTCTCCCTTTTATTTGCTTTCCTCATTCTTTTGACTCTTCTAGATGCACTAGTCATATATCCTAAAAGTACCTCTGATTTTTCAGAAGCATAACATGAGCTGGCAACATGCACTTGCAGCCTAGAAGCCAACCATGTCATGGGCTGCATCCAAAGCAGTGTGGCCAGCAGGTTGAGGGAGATGATTCTGCCCCTCTACTCCACCCTGGTGAGACCCTACCTGAAGCACTGTGTCCAGCTCTTGGGTCCCCAGCACATGAAGGACAGGGATCTGTTGGAGCAAGTCCAGGGGAGGCCACAAAAATGGTCAGGGGGCTGGAGCACCTCTGCTATAAGGAAAGGCTGAGAGACTTGGGGCTGTCCAGCCCAGAGAATTGAAGGCTTCAGGGAGATCTTTCCATACCTAAAGGGACTACAAGAGAGCTGGAGAAGGACTTTACACAAGGGCATGTAGTGATAGGATATGGGGGAATGGCTTTAAACCAAAAGAGGGTGGGTTTAGTTTGCATATTAGGAAGAAATTCTTTACTGTGAGGGTAATGAGGCACTAAAACAGGTGGCCCAGAGAAGTTGTGGATGCCCATCCAAAACAGGTGGAGAAGTTGTGGATGCCCATCCCTGGAAGTGTTTGAGGCCACGTTAGATGAAGTTTTGAGCAATGTTGTCTAGTGGAAGGTTCCCTGCCCATGGCAAGGGGCTTGGAACTAGATGACCTTTAAGGTCTCTTCAAACCTGAACCATGCTATGATTCTACAACAAATTTCTGACAAACAACAGTTAAAAGGAATCTGAAGAGTAAATGCAGGTTATAAAAATCCCTGGAAGTGTTTGAGGCCACGTTAGATGAAGTTTTGAGCAATGTTGTCTAGTGGAAGGTTCCCTGCCCATGGCAAGGGGCTTGGAACTAGATGACCTTTAAGGTCTCTTCAAACCTGAACCATGCTATGATTCTACAACAAATTTCTGACAAACAACAGTTAAAAGGAATCTGAAGAGTAAATGCAGGTTATAAAACAAGAAAAAAAGATCAGCAGCAATTAGGCTCTGATTCTTTCACACATATATGTCCTTGCGCACCCTCTGCCAGTGAAATGTGCTGTGCTACAGCAACCACTGTGTGCCATGGCATGTGCTAAGAAAATTATCATCCCTCCATGCAGCCCTTTGCTGTTGTCCCCTTCACCAAGAGTTCTTTTAACACACCTGAGACTAGCATTATTTCTGATCACAGCACACAGTGTGGAGGCAGATGTAACAACCTGAATTGACTGGCTGCATTACAG